TCCGGCTTCCTAGATACACGATTCGGATAGATAATTGATTTCCTCGGACATATGTGGTGGCAAACAAAATATGCAAGGGCATAAAAATCCGGTCTGTAATTATTACATTTGTAATTTTGGTTGCATAGCAAACAAACAACGACGTCAATAACTAAGTCGATACTTGAGTTTTTTTAATTAAAAAAAGTAATTGCATTTTAAAATTTAGAAAAATTAATTAGGCTATTTTTAACAGGTTAGAACAGTAAAGATTGATCTAGCCTTGGATAATCTTGGGTTAATGATAATTAAAAACGGTTCACACGACGATCGTGGGTTTTGATATTAATGAACAACCTGATACTTTAGCGTTATTAAATAGGAATATTGCACACTAACAAATAACGAACCCCTTCGTTCTAAATTTGACTTTTTGGTTCAACTGGTCGAACAAGATGCGAAGTGTTGAAACCACATTTGCTTAGTTTTAATTAACTCTATCGTCGCGGTGTTTAATAAAGAGATTGTCTTCGTATATCCGTGAAGGCGATTTGCATCCGGTTGGTCAGGGAAGACTCTGGAACGGATTTATACGGTTAGAGCTAACAGTAGAGACAGTTAACCGTAGTGCCCGCTCGATTAATATTCATATGTTAAAATGTTATCGCATTTATATGGAAATTGGAGATGCCCCGTGCTACAGCTAATATAGTTTGGTCACAGTTTGGAAAACAAATAGATTGATAATAATGTTGACAATTAGAAAAAGAAATTGTTGTAAAACTTGTCAGAGCATTAATATTCAGTACGTATTTTCCGAGGTTATTCATATATTTTTTATCTCAACCAAAACCTTACATAAAAAGAATAATTAATTGAAAGAAGTAACTTGGTCAATTGACCACTAAAAACATAAATGGTTATTTATATACTTGACGAAATTGAAAAATCGTCAAGCAAATTAATTCAATGTATATATATATATATCGTATAATGTTGATTGGGATTCGGGTTGTGGTCTTCAAACATACAATGTTATTATATCAACGCCCAAGCTTTCGACAAGTTTTATTGCCTTCTTCAGGGGATCTACAGAGACATAGGGACATAATCATTTAGACAGTTATAAATTGTATAAATAGTTATAAAATATCAGTTTTTTGTTACTTACAGATACAAAGTCAAATCGTAAACACATTGCACATTCCACGATATGTACAAACAAACTATATACATATATAATAAATAAATAAATAAATAAAAACCTCTTCTTAACAATCTAATCTAACAATCTTTATCTACTAGAGAATTGCATTTACTTTGAATTTTCTTTGTAGGGTCAGATCTAGCTAAGGAGTATGTGTTTTTATCACTCAAAAGTTCTTCCATTTTTCTTTTGTAGTGGGATTTTTCAAACACTACTGTCACATTACCTTTATCAGCTTTTGAGATAACTATATTGGGATTGTTTTTAATGAAAATATGAGTTTTTGTTATAGATCTTTCAAGGGTGGAGCTGGTGAATGCATTGCTTGGATTGGTCTTAATTTTGAATTTCACATCAAATTTCTTAAGAAATATGTTGATGACTTGTTTTTGATTGTAAAAAAGAGTGAGCTGGTGGACATTTTGAAGGCGTTTAATTCTTTCCATCCGTCGCTACAATTTACGCAAGAAACTGAGGTGGATGGGAAACTTCCTTTTCTTGACGTGGTTGTCATTAGAGATAATGGAAAATTAATAAATAACTGGTATTGGAAACCAACCAGCTCTGATAGGATGCTACATTTCTCATCCAACCATTCCTTTCAAATGAAATCTAACATAGTTTTTAACCTCATGGACAGGGCTCTGAAATTGAGTGATGATCGGTTCCATAGTGAGAACAAGGAAAAAGTGCGCTCTATGTTAATAGACAATGGTTATCCCAGATCATTAATAAATAGATTAATGGAAAACAAGACAAGAGCAACAAGGGTTGAGAATATAACTGTCGAGCGGAAACTTTATCAACCAGTTACATATGTAGCTGGAACATCAAGCAAGTTAAAAAAACTGTTGAAAGGAAAAATAGATAATGTAAAAATTGTTTACAAATTTAGCAATAAAGTAGGTAAGAATTTTTACACAAAACTTAAATGTAAAGAACCTCTACTACAAAAATCTAATGTAGTGTATCGCATTAAATGTGCACAATGTCCCACTGTGTATTACGGCCAAACAAAACAATATTTATCCGAACGGGTGCGGCAACATAAGTATGATTGCAATGATGAAGAAAGGCCGGGAACAGCACTATCCAAACATACACACGCTACGAAACATAATTTTGACTTCGATGGAGTCAAAATTGTGGCTTCTGAACAAAATACAGGTCGTAGATTTTTGAGGGAAATGATATCTATTCATCAGGAGAACATGGCCTGTAATTTAAAAACAGATCTGAATAATTTAAGTGTGATGTACAGTGGGATCCTAGAAAAAGATAAGGTCTCTCCCAAAGATCGTAACAATACTTGCGTACATATTTATTTATTTATCTATTTATTTATCTATTTATTTATTTATATATTATAACAGGCTGTGATAACATAGAATTACCAATGTATTAGAAATTAAGATCTTGTTTTTAAAAATTGTGGGAAATGATTGTTATCAGGTGATAGTGTGGGGAACGTGATAAACACAATTTTCTAGTCAAAACGCCTGTGATATTTATGTTCCAAAAGAATATTATTTATTAAGTAATTGTTACTGGTTTTAAAAAAATGCCTATATATGTAAGAGGCTGTTAAGAAGAGGTTTTTATTTATTTATTTATTATATACGTATATAGTTTGTTTGTATACATATCGTGGAATGTGCAATGTGTTTACGATTTGACTTTGTATCTGTAAGTAACAAAAAACTGATATTTTATAACTATTTATACAATTTATAACTGTCTAAATGATTATGTCCCTATGTCTCTGTAGATCCCCTGAAGAAGGCAATAAAATTTGTCGAAAGCTTGGGCGTTGATATAATAACATTGTATGCTTGAAGACCACAACCCGAATCCCAATCAACATTAGACGATATATATATATATACACACATACATTGAATTAATTTGCTTGACGATTTTTTAATTTCGTCAAGTATATAAATAACCATTTATGTTTTTAGTGGTCAATCAAATCAAACAGGTTTAATAACACAGAAAGAAAGATTAAGATGTTTTTTGTGTGTAATAAAAAGGAATTTATTTGAGCTTGGGTTTCTGTGGTGAGCGAAACTCAAACAGATCTGTAGGAAGCCTTAGTTCCTGGGATTCTCTAGCTAATTGACAAAAATCTTCCCCTTTGTAGTGTCAAACTCAGATCTTTCTTTTCGAAAGACAAATGGGCAGTTTTTGTTAAATTAAAAACAATTATGAACAAGACAGCATCATATTTATATTTTGATAATAAATACTTTCACTTTATTTTTTTTTTTTTTTTAATTAGAAATTGTTGAGAGTTGATAATAAACGAAAACATCCACACAACACTATTTCTTTTGGTAAAACCAACATTTTTTCTAAAGAATTTTGGTTATTAGAATTTTAAAAACCTTTTCGGTGAAGAAAAAACATTTCCACATAAATCATTTTTATTATTTTATTTGTACACTATATTAGTACATATTAGTATATATTACAAATGTGATTACAAGACGTTTTTTTCATACGGTCATAGCACTAACACTAATGGCTGCTCGGTATGAGGGATAAAGAGAAAGGAGATCTGGAGGCCAACGTCGATTGAGGAGATGTGGCGGGTTCTCAGGTTGAGATTAAGTAGAAAGGGCTGGTTACGATGGATGGACCTGTTGGTGTGAAATGTTTGTAATCGGTTATTGAAATAGTAATCAGTTAAATATTTAGGTCGTTGTGGATAGTTAGGTTAGTGACTTTTTAAGTAGATTTGACGATTTGTCTGAGGACGTATGGTTGGAAGGATTGCATGGATGTTGGATGACTTTGCAGAACCTCCACAGTTCTACTCCTTATGTGCAAAGTGGTCGCAGTAAAGGCTTGTATAAGGTTAGTTTAGTGTTGATGGTCAAGACGGATTTCGATCCTAGAACTCTTCGTAGATGTCCAAATCTTCTCTTAAGTTTTTTGTGGAAATTCCATGTCAGTGCTGTCTCCGTATAGTCCTAGGTATATTACTTTCTTGGAAAGTGTTTCTGGTTGATGTGGAGGGTAAGACTTTTTTCAGTGTGTGGTGATTAGTGACCTTAGTCGATGATTATTCGGAGATAGTGAGATGCGGTCTGGTGTGACGTAGGTTTTAGAAAAACATTTTCTTCATCGTGCCAACGTTTCGATCTTTATTGAGATCATCTTCAGGGCTCAAAATTTTCTGCGTAATTGTGCCAGGGTGTCGTGTTGAGAGTACCAGAGGAGCACTTTTTTCAATGTGAACATACATTGTGTACTTTTTTCTTTAGTCTTTAATCCTCCGGTTTTTGCCCACCAGTCTTCGATAAGCTTCTTGGATATTGGAGAAAGCTTGGATAAGATTCGCGTTAGTGAACAAAATTGCAATATCGTCCGCGTATGTGGGGGTGTGCATATAGGTCAGCAGTACAGATGATAAAAAGAATGGGACCGAGAATGCATCCTTGTAGGACACCTCGAGAATTCGTTGCCGGTTCAGAAATCTAAAAAATTTCATTGCAGCACTAGAAATGCTAGAGGGAACCTTCAGGATCCGACTCTGCAAGAGGAAGAAAGAGGCCAAAGGTAGTAATGTGGTAGAGAGGAAACTCAGTTGTGATGAAGGCAAGACTTCCTTAAAGAACACCTTCGTTAATACCAGCAATAGATGATGTTGACCAGCTTTGAGCTACACGAAAATAAGATTTGAGGATGTTTTCTTCTTTCTTTTTTCCTTCAGCAAGCCCAGGTTTCATACCCCGTTAAAAGATTTGGAGATGCCCAGACACTTTGGCTTCACCTCAAGGTTTACGATGAAGTGTTAATAACGGAAACTACGTATGATTTGATAAAGAGAAGATTCTCGAATAATTGTCCATGAACGGAAAGGAGGCTGACAGGGCGGTAGGATATTTTAGATTTGAAAAAAGAATTTCCAAAGAAATGGAAAATATTTTGTTTTGAAATCTAAATCTAAAGGGTTGACAGGAAAAGTATTACTTTGGTGAGTGCCAAACTGCTTCTTAAGCTTTCAAAGTTAAGAAAAGGTAATTTTCAACAACGCTCTGCTATGGTAAAATAGAAGAAGCAATTAATAACTTGAAACTGCTTTAATCCACTGCTGTAGTCATACAAATGCAAAACAAGGCAAATTATTGGTGAATCGGCAAGTCCTAGACCTTTCCTTCCCAACATGACGCTTCTCCGCGCGGTTTTGAAGGAAATGAACAAACTCAGTCCATTTTTCTTTCCATAGGCTCATATCGAACTTCTCGGTAGAACAGATGTTCAACTCGAATTTTACCCTCCGCGCATCGACTCCAGAGAGGTTGGATTAAATTTGGGCTACATAAAAGTCATGGCCGGATAATTAAGATTTCAAGTTGCGATGCTTCACGAATATCTTTCGGCAAGCCATTGTACCATACTTGGTAAAATGCTTGAGGGATGTTCAAAACCCGGCCAGTATTATTTACAACGCGATGGACTTGGTGTACGGTGAAGTGGTAGTGAGTGAAATGGAACTGGTGATGAGGAATGAGACTGAGAGTATTAATATTGTTTTGTTAGGAGAAATTTCTTGATCACTTTTCAATATGAGACAGACGCCCGAACCACTCGGCCCCCGCTGTCTCGACAAACAACTTACATTTTATCTGTTTTTCTGTCTTTCGAAACTTCGCTGCTGACTGCCTTTGTTGCCATTTTTTCTTCAATTTCTGCCTCGCATGTTCACATTGGTCGCTATCCTTTTTCTTGAAGGGACCCATTCCCTCACCCTCCCATGCCATCTAACTGGGGTCATGCGTCTTACGTGCCGATACCACCTTCGTCGTTTTAACGCCCCTTCTCAAAGAGGTCATCTCTACAGCTCCGATTCTCGAAAATATGTTTCACACATTGTCAAAGTTTCCTATGCATAAGTGAAGATATATTCTATAATTAAGAAGATTTTCTCTTTGATATCTTTTCCAAAACAAAGAGTAAAGCATTCTTGTTGCTTTTCTAGCCTTCTCGCTTCTTCTTTGTACTTATTGTCCTAAAAACAAAACAAAAATATATAATATGCCAAAATCATACGCTCAACATTTAAATAAGGTTTTTAGTTGAGATAAAAAAGTCAATGGCACGAGCGGGATTCGAACCCACGACCTTCGGCTAGATACACCGCTGCTCTACCACTTGAGCTATCGTGACCTCGATCCACTCGGACACTAACTTCCCATCTCAACCCCACCATTTGAATTTTCCCTCCTTTTTGCCATTTTTTTATCTCAACTAAAAACCTTAATTAAGTGTAATATATTAATTGGTCAAGCGGACCACGAAATTAGTGAATTAATAATTTATAATTTAAACATTCAATATAATTTTCTGATGCATTCCTTTCCTTTCTTAGTAAAAAAAAAATTAAACTATTATCTAACTTTCAGTGACATTTACATTGACAGTTCATGAGTCCATCAGGAACCGGTAAGAAACCTTTTAGCCCTCCAGTTACATCCTAGCAAAAAAGTGTATTAATGGAAATTGGTTGAAGCTGGAGGAGTGAACTATCGCAAAAAAATAGGGTTACATTTTGTTTAAATTATTCCCATTTTAATTTAATCGTGCAATATATTTTTAAAAAAATCTAAATTATTGTATTTTTTAATTTAATTTTGCTACTATCTATTTGATAAATTTTTTACTTTTGAGCATCGGCATTACAGAATAAATTGTCGAGCAAAAAATTGATAACGTACGAAATTCTAGTTTCTTCAGTGGTACATAGATGTCCATTCCTCTTCCATTAAATAAAATTCTAATAGAATCCACATTTTAAAACGTTTTCCCCTCTCATTTTATTATAATTTCTATTTAAATTGATGTGTTTTTTTAACAAAAGAGTTATTCCGGAATGATAACTTCTTTTAACTTTGTCAACCTCAACCGGTGTAATCTCAATAACATGAATCCTTGACGTTGCCCTTTTTAATGTTAATAAAGGTTATTTTAATACACGTTATATAGGGGAAAGTTTCGAGAATAAAGCCCGGGTGGTCCGTTTCACAAGTGGTCTTCTCCCCCTTTTCCCGGTTAATATCAACCCTTTACGCACTTCTCGACAAACTGCACGACTTCAACTGCGAAGTACTAATTGAAACTGATGTATGTCCGTAGGTTAACATGCGCCGACATGGAAAATTACAGGATTTTAATTAAATACACCGTCTGGTTTTGAATCGCTCCGTTGAGCGCTTATTTTTCCTTCAAGTGTGTTATTAAAAGCTTTTCAGAAAATAAACAATCCCCATAACCCTGTTCAGTCTCCGAAATGTTAAAAAAGAACAAAAAACTCAATCGTATTAATACATCAACCATTTAAAATGAGCGCGATTATTTATGAGGCATTTCAGGTCCGTCTGTCAAAGGAAAGCTTTTATTTGTATTATTTTGTAATTAATCGCATTTTACCGGATTCTTTTAGTCAAATTCTTTCAATGAGCGGGTTGACAATGAAATCAGGGTTTTCAATGGACAGGAATTGAAAGCGTTAAATTCTATAAAGAGACTTTTATAAAACAAACAAGCCATAAACAACTTTTCAGGCATGAGATAACTGCATTTTAAGTGTAAACAGCTTTAAGTAAAAAAATCCTTTCTATCATAATTACAAATAAATCAGAAAGATTACATTTTATTTTAGAAAGATTAAATATGTAAGTTATTACACTTATGACTTAGTACATTTTAAAAACCCTATGTTCATAACAGGGGATAATGTGCTTACCACTTGTGCACTTACCATTAAGTTTATTAAATAATTTATTTTATCTCGTTGTTTTGCAATATTTCTCCTTGGCTATTGTTTTGTAACGATGCAATACTAAAAATTTTAATCTAAGAAATGGAGATTTTATCTTAGGGTGCGTACTAAGGCTAGTAAAGTAAAGAAGTAAATTCCTGAGTTTCAAAATGCTGAACTCCCAATTACCCGCTAAGAACTTTTTTTTTCTTTTTTTTTTTGGGGGGGGGGCAACGATTAAGGCTTNGGTCCCCGCCGCGCGCCCGCACCACTCATTCAGCTCCATCATCTTCTCATCTTCTAAATTTTCATGCTTGAAGATAATAAAAAAGAAACGTTTATCGACTTTAGAAATCCATAGATTATGTTGAAAGCTGATGGATTGTTGCTTATTAGGACAGATTCTAAGTTTATTGGTTTTGAAATGTTTGGGACTTTGCTCAGATTTTTTAGCATTTTCATATTCTGGACATTCAAAAATTATGTGGGAAGGATTTGAAGGGCAATCGCAAGTGGGACAGTTCGGAACGATGCCAAACCGATTCTCTTCTTGTAGCTATCCCATAGGTTATGATTTGTCTTCAGTCTAAAAATAGTAGAATAGAACTCCTTTGACATTCCTTCAATCGCCTTCCGAAAACCATGGTTTTTTCTTGAGCTCAGGAAACAGTGACCTGTAATAATTGCCAACATTTGATGCGTTGTATTTTTCTTGCCACAGATTTCTACAAAACTTTTCCAAAAAGTTTGTCCCGTCATCTTTAGGAATTTTAATGTCAAGAATTGGACCTGGTGTTGCAGCCTCCTTTGCAAATGCGTCCACCGTTTCATTTTGCCATAAGCCTGCATGCCCTTTCACCCAACACAATGCCACCCTTTTTCCCATGATTTTTGTCTTACTTTTTCATATAATGAACAATTAAAAAACCGTGGGCTTAGCCAGGATTCGAACCTCTAGTAAATACGATACGGACGCCCTAACCACTCGGCCACCAAATTCCCTTGCAATACCCCCCAATAGAACAAGCAAGCACGGATCACAAAGCTGCCTAAGTCCTCCTAGGACATCGTCTCATTCGCAACATCCAAAATACATTCCTTCATTCATCCCTTTTCCCTCTTCTATTTTTCATTTTCATGATTTTCATTTCTTACTCATTTCAATGATGTCCAGTTTTATAAGTAGAGAAGCGCGTCTCAACATCTTTAATTACAAGGTTATGAGCCGGCTAGCTCTCTTCACATGGAATGCGAATGGCCTCAACGAACTAAAACACTGCTACAAGAAAAAAATAATAGACAGAGTACAGATTACAAAGATACACTAATTCAAAACCCAATTTTTATATTCGAAATAACAGACCAGGATTTACAGAACCAACCCATTGCGTATGAAGATATTCGCTGATTCCTAACCAATGCCTTGTGATTACCACATACAGCCACTATGCCCTCATCATCTTTCAACTTTACAATAGCAGCTGTGTTCCCAGCAACAAACCAACAATTTATATTCTTTTTCCGGTCCATACCACCCATGATATATTTTCCATTTCCGCTGAACTCTACAATGTAAGGCAGCCATACAGGGGCTGGAGAGTAGTTAATCCACGAGGTCGTGACCCAGTGACCCAACCCAACGGTTTAACTTCCGGATTTTACATATTCGCTTTCACTAACAAACGTCCAGCTCTATTAACCTTCTTCATTTTATCCCAATTCTCTATTTTTAAAGAAATAACCTTCCTCGGGCAGGTGGTTACTATTTTTCTGAACTACTATCACCAAAAAAGTTGCATTAAAATCGGTTACATGTCCGTAACCTCGCTCCTGTTGTAAGCTGTTCTTTACAATTAATTCAGCCGTTTTATGTTTCCTCGTAACGTATATATTTTTCTGCCAAAAGGGGTAAGATTTATGCGCACTTTTAAGTTAGGTTAATATTTGCATAATTTGTGATAACAGATTCAGTTGTCTTAATCCGAACAAGTTCTAAACTACGCTATAACTTTGTTTAATTTATTTTAAAATTTTAGGCTGGTAAGAGAGAAAAACAAGTTGGAGAAGGAGAACAATAGATGTTGTTCCAAAAGAAATTTTTCGTGGAGTTGAATATTATTTTCCTTTCACAAATAATGTTACATAATGAAGTTTACTTTTCGTAAAACATGCCCAATTCGAGTTAATTAATCCTATTAGTGAACTTAACGTACGTTTCCTCCCAGCATCGATAAATAATGTTTTATATTGTTTATTCATCTTTAATGAGGAAACTTCGAAATTAATGATTTGGGCTGTTGTTTAAAGATCGTCTTTTCATGACACCGCTGGTGGATAAAGGCGAACTTCATCAATCTTCTCTGGTAGTTGTAACTTGTTAGACTCTAGTTAGTTTCAATTTTTTCACTTCTCGTATGTCACAAATGGATCGATGTCAGCATTGCCTGATTTTAATCTTAGAACTAAAATGATTTTTTCCGTTGATTTATTGATTACTTAACTTAATCTGAAATGTCAAGCAGTTTGATTGTCACTGATGGTCCGCCAGTTCTCCTTTTATACTTGGGTCATATTAGTTTCACCTTTTTGACAGCTTCAAGATTTGCAAGATCAAACAATTTTCACTTATCTTGCGCCATTTACAGTTACTAATGATAGCGAAAGGATGAAAATACAGTCCATGCAAGTTTACTATTATGACATTCATTACTTCTGCCCCACACGCTATTATACATATTATTTGAGCCTACTCTTACGTTACAAGCTTATAAGTATAACTAAAGAATTAAATTCAAATATTTAATCAGTCTTGTTTGATCTATGGATTTAATAAAGCCGGGCTGTCAGGCCTGGAACCCGAATTAGGTTTTCTCAACGGGAAAATGTTAATGAAAAGGGCCGTGTTTCCTGGTTCGTATATCACACAGGGGGATGGTAAATTCTCTGTGCAGCCTATGAAAAGGCTGGGTCGAGTTTAATATTAATCCTAATTGTAAACAGTTGACTACAAACGTCAAAAGGGCTCAGAATCCCGTATGTTGGAACGAAACAAACAAAATCGTAGAACGGTTGCAGATTCTAGATCTGGAAAGTTTAACGAAGACGGCAAAAGAAACAAGAAAAAATATTTTGACGGTAAATTGTGTTCGGTTTCTGAGTTTCTGAGTACAGAGTACTGGGTTTTCAAAGTGGTTTCAAGAAATATATTCTTGGTATCACCGTTTGAGCTTTCTTACGATTTGTTCAATATA